CATGGCTTTTACTATACAGAACTTTGCAGACAAATTGATGTCTCTGCTTTTTCATAAGTTTATCATAGCTTTTCCTTCAAGCATCAAGCATCTTTTAACTTCATGGCTGCAATCACAGTCTGCAGTGATTTGGGAGTCCTAGAAAATAAAATCTGTCATTGTTTCCACTTTTTCCCTCCAATTTTCCATGAAGTGATGGGACCAGATGCCATGATTTTATTTTTTCTTTAAATACTGAGTTTCAAGCCAGCTTTTTCACTCTCTTTCACCCTCATCAAGAAGCTCTTTAGACCTCTTCATTTTCTGCCATTAAAGTGATATCACTGCATATCTGAGATGGTTGATATATCTCCCAGAAATCTTAATTCCAGCTTGTGATTCATTCAGCCTGGCACTTCAAATAATATACTCCCTGTGTCTCAGTGGAAAAGAATCCACCTGGAGTGAAAGAGGTTACCTACATGAAGGAGATTCAGTTTGATCCCTGGGTTGGGAAAATCCCTTGGAGAAGGAAATGGCAACCCACTCCAGTACTCTTGGCTAGGAAATCCCATGGACAAAGCAGCTTGGAGGGCTACAGTCCAGGCTGTCGCAAGAGTCAGACAGCATTTAGTGACTAACCCACCACCACCGCCATTCTACATATAAGTTAAACAAGCAGGGTGACAATATACAGCCTTGTCATACTCCTTTCCCAATTTCGAACCAGTCAAGTGTTCTATGTCCAGTTCTGATTGTTACTTCTTGACCTACATACATATTTCTCAGGATACAGGTAAGATGGTCTGGTATTCCCATCTCTTGAAGAATTTTCCAGCTTGTTGTGATCCAAACAGTCAAAGGCTTTAGTGTAATCAGTGAATCAGAAGATGTTTGTTTGGAACTCCCTTGCTTTATCCATGATCCAACAAATGTTGGCAACTTGATCTTTGCTTCTTCTGCCTCTTCAAAACTCAGCATGTACATCTGGACATTCTTGGCTCATGAACTGCTGACGTCTAGCTTGAAGGATTTTGAGCATTACCTTGCTAGCATGTGAAACAAGCACAACTGTATGGCAGTTTGACCATTCTTTGGCCTTGCCCTTCTTTGGACTGGAATGAAAATTGATCATTTCTAGTCGTGTGGCTATAGCTGAGTTTTTCAAATTTCTTGGCATCTTGAGTACAGCACTTTAACAGCATCATCTTTTATAATTTTAAATAGCTCAGCTGGAATTCCATTACCCCCACTAGCTTTGTTTGTAGTAATGATTCCTAAGGCCTACTTGACTTCACACTCAAGGATATCTATCAAGATATCCCAGTTAAGGAAGCTTGTGTCCATGTTTTGGTGGGTGAAGCTGGATTTGTTATCTCTGGAGTGCAAGGAAGTTCTCTGGAGAGCTATACTAACAAAGCTACAGTCATCAAGACTGTATGGTACTGGCTCAAAGACAGAAATACAGACCAATGGAACAAAACAGAAAGCCCAGAGATAAATCCATACACTTATGGACACCTTATTTTTGACAAAGGAGGCAAGAATATACAATGGAGAAAAGACAATCTCTTTAAGAAGTGGTGCTGGGAAAACTGGTCAACCACTTGTAAAAGAATGAAACTAGAACACTTTCTAACATCATACACAAAAGTAAACTCAAAATGGATTAAAGATCTAAATGTAAGACCAGAAACTATAAAACTCCTCAAGGAAAACTTAGGCAAAACACTCTCTGATATAAACCATAGCAGGGTCCTCTATGACCCACCTCCCAGAGTGATGGAAATAAAAGCAAAAATAAAAAAATGGGACCTAATTAAACTTAAAAGCTTTTGCACAATGAAGGAAACTATAAGCAAGGTGAAATGACAGCTTTCAGAATGGGAGAAAATAATAGCAAACCAAGCAACTGACAAAGAATCTCAAATATATATAAGCAGCTCATGCAGCTCAATTCCAGAAAAATAAATGAGCCTGTCAAAAAATGGGCCCAAGAACTAAACAGACATTTCTCCAAAGAAGACATACAGATGGCTAACAAACACATGAAAAAATGTTCAACATCACTATCAGAGAAATCCAAATCAAAACTACAATGAGGTACCATCTCACGCTGGTCAGAATGGCTGCTATCAAAGAGTCTACAAACAATAAATACTGCAGAGTGTGTGGAGAAAAGGGAACCCTCTTGCACTGTTGGTGGGAATGCAAACTAGTACATCCACTATGGAGAACAGTGTGGAGATTCCTTAAAAAACTGAAAATAGAACTGCCATACGACACAGAAATCCCACTGCTGGGCATACACAGCAAGGAAACCAGAATTGAAAGAGACACGTGTACTCCAATGTTCATCGCAGCACTGTTTATAATAGCCAGGACATGGAAGCAACCTCGATGTCCATTGGCAGACAAATGGATAAGAAAGCTGTTGTACATATACACAATGGAATATTACTCAGCTATTATAAAGAATGCATTTGAGTAAGTTCTACTGAGGGGGATGAAACTGGAGCCTATTATACAGAGTGAAGTAAGTCAGAAAGAAAAACACCAATATTAATACATATATATGGAATTTAGAAAAATGGTAATGATGACCCTATATGCGACACAGCAGAAGAGACACAGATGCAAAGAACAGACATTTGAGTTTGGTGGGAGAAGGCGAGGGTGGGATGAGTTGACAGAATAGCACTGAAACATATTTATTATCATATGTGATGTGGATGGCTGGTCCAGGTTCGATGCATGAGACAGGGTGCTCAGGGCTGGTGCACTGGGATGACCCTGAGGGATGGGATGGGGAGGGAGGTGGGAGGGGGGTTCAGGATGGGGAACACATGTGCACCCATGGTGGATTCATGTCAATGTATGGCACAAACCACTACAATAATGTAAAGTAATTAGCCTCCAATTAAAATTAATTAATTAAAAAAAGAAAAGGATGTCTGGCTCTAGATGAGTGACCACAGCAGTCTGGTTATCTGGGTCATTAAGACCTTTCTTGTATAGTTCTTCTGTGCATTTTTGCCACCTCCTCTTAGGGTCTCCTGTTTCTGCTAGGTTCTTACCATTTCTGTCCTTTCCTATGCCCATCCTTACATGAAATATTCCTTTGATATCTCCAGTTTTCTTGAAGAGATCTCTAGTTTTTCCCATTCTGTTTTTCTCCTCTACTCCTTTGTTAGAAACTATATTTAATTAAAGCATATCAAGTTTGGGATATTCCTATGATATTACTGTTCTTACCTAACTTTTTACACCAAATTTGGATTCCCTTCTTTTACTTTTCTTAAAAATCTTATGTTTGGTATTTATTTTACATTTCTCTCAAAATAATATATACATTTTCTTTACAGCATAGGACTTCTCAACTCTAACAGCACACAGGAATTACCTAAGGAGATGTGAAAATAAATGAATATAAAAGATGATGCCCTGGTCCCATCCCAGCTATTGAATTAATTGATAGGATCAGTGCTGGCAGGTATGGAAATCTCCTTCAATGGTTTTAATGTGAAGACAGAGATGAGAACCATGCAAGTAAATTATCTCACAAAGATCCACCGGCCCTTCTTCCTCTACATGTTTCTTGTGAACTCCAGAGTCACCTCTGGGCTTCGATGCTGCACCACAGCAATGCTTCAGTAAAGACGTGGCTGCAGATAGCACGGCATGCTGTAATACCACTCGCAAATGGAAAACTGTACAAAAGGCAATCAGCAACAACATTCAGAGCTTTAGGTGCTCAGTAACTATCATTAAATCCTTTTTGGAGGAGTATGTAATAGCTTAGTCACTTGGTCCAAATAACTTGAATGCTAAATCACAGACAGCTGGGTCCATATCGTCCCCATTGTTCATTCTTGAATAAATACACACAGTAATAAACTATGGTAAATAAAATTAATCACACATGCTTATGTACATAATATGAGCCTGCTGAATGTTGGGCTGTTTTGAATCTATGGGTCTGTTGAAACAGTCTTTGTGGGTAAACAGTCGCAGATGGGCACATTTTCTCTATTAAAAACACCTGCAAAAGGTTGCTGGAAAAGTTTCAAAAAAGCTTGAATGATTTCAAAACTTATTTTACTCCACCTGGTGATTGATGGGTTTGCAGTTTTTTCCTTAGGAATCCATGTATTATTAGAACATTCTGATTACCTCACTGATGCCATCAGAGGAACCAGGCAAGGTGAATATTGTATTTCTATGCTTCATTCCTTTATGTATTAATCTCTTCCTTTCATCACTCAGTCATTACTTACTATATAGAAAGATCTCTGCAGGTAAGTGAATAAAATGCAAATAATTCTGCCCCAATTATATTTCTTTCGTATTACCCATTCTAATGAACAGAATTATGTAGAAACTTGAACAAATAATTTTATCTAATTTATTAATCACTTGAAACAATCTTTTTCCCTAGGCTCAGCATTGCTCCTACTTATATTCTGAGATATTTCCATTCCTGAATAATAAAAACTAATAATAAAACGGAGCCTCCTCACCCTTATTTTCATTTATTCTTTCTTCACCACACTAACTCTACTCTGACCCTATCATATATCCTTAAATATACTATTAATTCAAGTACAAATTTTGAAAAAAATATATATTTTAACCCTGTACAGAGAGGAGGCATCAAGAAATTGTGAACTTCCAAAACAGCTATGGCCACTACCAAGTACAAAATAAAAGAGGACTAGCAGCATATTAATGAAATGACAAACTCTCTCTTCAAATGTATTTTTATATTGTAAGTAAAGTTGTACTTCTGCTGTACTGAAGTCATGTTTGTTTAATCAATGTTTTTAATTTTTCATCTCTCTTTGAAACTATTTGACAAAACAAAGAAAGAAACATTGTTGTATTGTCTGTATTTTATTCAATCTGTTTTGTGTTCTAATATCCCTCTTGACCATATGTCAATTTAAGGGAGATTATGCCACGTCCCTAAGACTCTGGAAGTATATGTCTTTGGAATGAGACAAAGGGGATTCATGAATAAATATTACTTAAAGGCAAGGTGTTTAACTTTATTCTTATTTTATGGATACAAATTGTAGTTCACCTTCCACCAAGTATAAAATAAAGGACAAGAGAAAGTTTTATTTTATTATATGCTTGGTATAAAGCTTCGGGCTATTAAATGTCAATTGCATCATTAATTTGTATGCTGATAACACACTTCATAGCTACACCCACAGATTTGCGTTTCCGTAAATATGAGTGCGGCTGGCCATCTTTTCACATGCTGGTGTCATCTGTGTGTCCTGTTTGGAAAATGTTCATTCAGTACCTCTGCTTATTGTTTCAGTGGGTCACGTGGGTTTTTTGTTGAGAAGTATTAAGGTTTTAATATATTTTGGACATTAAAAACTTAAAGGTTATATAATTTGCAAATCTTCTCCCAATCAGCAGGTTGTCTTTTCGCATTATTGATGATCTCTTTTGCTGTGTAGAAGCTTTTTTGTTTGATGCAATCACATTTGTTTACTTTCATTTTTGTTTCCCTTGCCTAAGGAGACAAATCAAGAAACATATTTTTAAGACCATGTCAAAGAGCATATTGCCTAGGTTTCCTTCTAGGAGTTTTATGGTTTCGAGTTTCATATTCAGGTCTTTTATAAATGCTGAGTTGATGAATGTGTACAGTGTGAGAATGGTCTAGTTTCCTTTTTTTTTGCATGTTGCTATCATGTTTTCCCAACTCTATTTATTACACAGACTATGCTTTCTCCATTTGCCTTTTTTTTTGGCTCCTTTGTCATAAATTAATTTTCTATACATGTGTTTGTTTCTTTCTGGGCTCTAAATTCTGTTCCACTGTATGTTCTATCCTATGTATCTTTCTGCCAACACTATCCTGTTCTGTTTGCTACTGCTGTGTGACCCCATAGACGGCAGCCCACCAGGCTCCCCCATCCCCTGGGAGTCTCCAGGCAAGGACACTGGAGTGGGCTGCCATTTCCTTCTCCAATGCATGAAAGTGAAAAGTGAAAGGGAAGTCGCTCAGTCGTGTCCTACTCTTAGCGACCCCATGGACTGCAGCCCACCAGGCTCCTCTGTCCATGGGATTTTCCAGGCAAGAGTACTGGAGTGGGGTGCCATTGCCTTCTCCGGCTGTTCTGTTTAATACGGCTTTATGATGCACTTGAAATTAGAGCATATGATACCTCCAGCTTTGTTATTTTTCTCAGGATTACTTTGGCTAAAGGGGTCTTTGGTGCTGCCACATAAATTTTAGAAATTTTTTTGTTCTCATGTGAAAAAATATCCTTGGGATTTTGATATGGATTTCACTGAATCTGTAGATTGCTTTAGGATATATGGACATTTAAACAATATTAATTCTTCCAATCTGTGAGCACAGAGTATCCATTTGTTTATGTATTTTTCATTTTCTTTATACAATGCCATATAGCTTTCAGTGTATAGATTTTTCACATCCTTGGTTAAATTTATTCCTGTGTATTTTATTATATATGTTGCTATTATAATTAGGATTGTTTTCTTAATTTCTCTGCTAGTTCACTGTAAGCAAATGGAAGGGCAGAAGTGTTCTGTATGCTGACTTTGCTCACTGAAACTTTAATGTATTCATTTATCTTTGTGGAGTCTTTAGGGTTTTCTATATATAAAATCACGTCATCCACAAGTAGTTAAAGTTCTACTTCTTTCTTTCCAATTTTGATGCCTTTTATTGATTTTCATTGCCTAATTGTTCTGGCTGAGGCTTCCAATATTCTGTTGAATAAGAGTGGTGAGAGGGATCACTGTTGTCTTGTTCCTTGTTGTAGGACAGCTTTCAGCTTTTCACCGCTGAGTATGATGTTAGCAGTAGGTTTGTTATAAATGGCTTTTATTATGTTGAGGAACGTTCCTTCTACACTTTATTGAGAATTTTTTTTCATAAATTATAACTGAATTTTGTCAAAGTTATTACTGCATCTACTTAGCTGATGCCAGATTTTGATCTTTCATTTTGTTAATGTGGTCCATCATGTTGATTGATTTGCAAATATTGAACCACCATCGATCCCTGGAATAAGTCCCACTTAATCATGATATGTGATACTTCTAATTTTGTTATTTAGTCGCTAAGTTGTGTCCTACTTTCTTGTGACCCCATAGACTGTGGCCCATCAGGCTCCTCTGTCCATGGGATTTCCCATTGGAGAGGGCTACCGCTTCCTTTTCCAGGGTATTGTCCTGATTCAGGGATTGAACCTGCATTTCCGGCACTGGCCGGCAGATTCTTTACCACTGAGCCACCTAGGAAACCCTGATACTTCTAATATATTACATTATTTGACTTGTTAATATTTTGTTGAAGACTTTTATATCTGTGTTCATCAGACATATTGGTTGTACTTTTCATTTTTTTGTATTGTCTTTGTCTGATATTGGTACCAGGGTGATGTTGGTCTCATAAAATTAGACAGAAAGTGCTCTCTCCCCTTCAGTTTTATGGAACAGTTTGAGAAGGACAAGTATTAAATCTTCTTTGACTCTTTGGTAGAACTCACCTGTGAAGCCATATCATTCTGGACTTATATTTTGGAGGAGCTTTTAAAGTATTTTTCAATCTTATTTATTTTTGGCTGTGCTGGTCTTTGTTGCTGCACGGAGCTTTTCTCTATTTGCAGGAAGCAGGGGCTACTCTCCAGCTGTGGTGAATGGGCTTTTCATTGAGTGGCTTCTCTTGTTGAGGAGCATGGACTTCAGTATTTGTGGCACATGGCTTATTTGCTCCACGGAATATGGGATCTTCCCAAATCAGGGATTGAATCTGTGTCTCCTGCACTGGCAGGTGGAATCTTTACCACTGAGCTACCAGGGAAGCCCCTGTGGAGGAGCTGTGTGTTTAATGTTTTAATCTATGTACTACTGATGAATGTATAGCTTTTCTATATCTTCATGACTGAGTTCTGCATGTTTGTATGATTTTAAGAATTTGTCCATTTTTTTTTTCTAAGTTGTCCAATCTGTTGTGCATAGCATAGCAGCTCATATTGTTCCCTTATAATCCTTTTTTTCCCGCCATGGCATCCATTGTAATTTTCCTCTTTCTTCTCTGATTTTAATTATTAGCACTTTCTTTGTTTTCTCACTGAGTCTAGCTAAAAGGTTTGCCAATTTTGTTTATCTTTTCTATTGTGTTTTTAGTCTATTTACTTCCTTCTACTAACTCTGGACTTCATTTGTTCTTACCTTTTTTAGTTCCTTGAGGTGTATGGCTAAATTATTTGAATTTTTTCTTGTTTCTTGAGGTAGGCCTGTATTGTTGTATTGCTATAAACTTTCCTCTTAGTACTATTTTTTTTTGCACTAAATATATTTTAGTATGTTGTACTGCTGTATTTCATTTTTATTTGCCTTCAGGTATTCTTTTTCTCCTTTGATTTCTTCATTGACCTAATAGCTGTTCTGTAGCAAACTATTCTGTCTAAACATAATTCCAGCTCTTTTTTTCTAGCTTATTTCTAGTTCATGTTGGAAAAGGCACTTGGTATAACTGCTATCTTCTTAAACTTGCTGAGACTTGCTTCGTATCCCAACATATGATCTATCTTGAGAAGGTTCCATGTGCACTTCAGAATATGCATTCTGCTACATTTGGATGGAATATTCTGTAGAAACATATCAAACTATCCAGTTTAGTGTTTCATTAAAAGCTGTTTTTCCCTGTTTCCTGTTGACTTTTTACCTGGATGACCCACCCACTGACAAAAGTAGGGTGTTAAAGTCCCCTACTATTATTATCTTGTCAATTCCTCCCTTTAGGTCTGTTAATAAATGCTTTGTATATTTTGGCTGTCCTATGTTAGGTGTATATGCATTACTAACTATTGTGTCTTATTGATGAATTATCACCTTTATCATTATACACTCTCCAATTTTGTCTCTTGTTACCTCTTTTGCTTGAAGTCTATTTTTTCTGATATGAGTATTTTTCCTTTTTCCAGCTGTCATTTATTAGGAGTATCACCTTCTATCCCTTCAATTTTAGCCTGTTTGTCTTTAGAACTGGTGAATGTCTTGGAGGCAGCATATATTGGGTCTTTTGTTTTTTTAATCCATTTAGCCACTGTTTGTCTTTTGACAGATAAACTCAATCCACTTACATTTACTGTAACTGTTGGTAGTTGAGGATTTAGTATTGCCATTTTGTTTTCTGGTTGTTCTGTATACAGATTGCTTCTTTTTCCTTCTGTTTCTGCCATTTTAGTTTGGTGGCTTTACATGATATTTTTCTCAATTTTCCCTTTATTATTTTATGTCTCCACTCTAGACATATTTTGTGGTTACTGTGAGGTTTGTTTAAAAGTCTCATATTTAAAACAATCTTTTTTTCTGCTGATAGCATCTCATCTTCAGTTTCATATATAATAGATACAAGGAGGAAAACAGCATGCTCCATTCAGAGTCTACTGAGCTAGCTTCTTCCCTCTACTGAATTAACTATTAACCAATAATTCTGATGATTTACATAAACATTTTAAATCAGATTAATACCTACATAAGAGTCTAGTCAAAAAGACATATAGGTGTACACAAAATAAGCAAGAACTGAAAAGATTTTATGGTTTATCACCAAATTAGACCTTACCAAATCAATTTTCTCAGTATGCTTTGGAAAGTCACCATTCTTTTCTATCTTTGCCCACCTTCTGTCCATTACACTCATTCCATTGGGTCAGAAAACAAATGTGAGAAAATTGCCTCAAAAATATTCCTGCTAAAATATTAATTAATGAAAAGAGAGATGTGTTCTGCAACTCACCTTATCAGACAACTGAATTTAACATTCTGATTTTAGAATCCAAAACATGGCCCAAGAAACATCACTAAAGAAAAGAAAATTAAAGTTCAAAATGTTATGCCTATAAAAATGGTAGTTTTTAAAAAGTGGAATGCAGGTAGAATGTTAGAAGATAATACTGGACACAGGTGAATTAAGAGCATGAAGTATAATGGAAAGTTAAGGGATATATGGAATGTGACTTTTACTTGAATCAATGATTTAAAAAAATAGGTTTACAAAAATTGTTTGTACAATTTAAGAAAACTTTACCTTTGAATTTCAGATACATATTTGTCATTGGATGTAAGGCTTGGTATAAAAAACACTGAGTTCTTCCTTACTGTATTTTCCTTCACTAAAAAATTCAGGTCATGTTTTGCAAATTTCTAAAAGTTTCTAAAGGTCAAAAACATTACAAAGCAAAGTCCTCAGATTATCATGCAAAACAGAGTAGCTCCATTTTGGAGTATAAAGAAACACAACTTGGTAGTTACCAGCAGTGATAAACTGAAAATTAAAAAATAAAAACATGAATCTTATTTGTACACTGTACATTTTCTAGTACTAAAAAAAGGAGATATATCTCAAGAGATTAAATAAGGAAAATATCAAAATTAACATTTCCATCGTGACATTTAAAATAAATACTAAAATATGTGAGTGTAGCATTGGTTAAATTATCTTAAATAACAAGGGTAATGTTAGCACATTTTTTCCTCTCATAAAAAGATGAGTTTATATTTAGAATCAGAATTTCCTACTACACACATGTAAAACAATTCTGAAGAAATTAATCAAACCTATTAAAAATGTTTTACTTTTGTAAGACATGTTTTTCAGTCAAACAACATATATAAGACCCAATATTACAAAACGAAAGCAAAATAACAATTTATACCAATAATTAGCTTGGTGCTAATTAAATTCCATAAGTTTCTTTCTAAATTAAAATGACCCATCATATTTAATCTCATTAAAACTAAAATTTATCCAGTTGACAGAGCCTTAAATTTTAGATTTGATGTAATTTTGATAAAAATTATACATGTGATCACTCACTTAGAGCCAGATATCCTGGAATGTGAAGTCAAGTGGGCCTTAGGAAGCATCACAACCAACGAAGCTTGTGAGGTGATGGAATTCCAGTTGAGCTATTTCAAATCCTGAAAGATGATGCTGTGAAAGTTCTACACTCAATATGCAAGCAAATTTGGAAAACTCAGCAGTGGCCACAGGACTGGAAGTGGTCAGTTTTCATTTCAATCCCAGAGAAAGGCAATCCCAAAGAATGCTCAAACTACTGCACAATTGCACTCACCTTATACACTAGTAAAGTGATGCTCAAAATTCTCCAAGCCAGGCTTTCACAATACGTGAACTGTGAACTTCCAGATGTTCAAGCTGGTTTCAGAAAAGGCAGAGGAACCAGAGATCAAATTGTTAACATCTTCTGGATCATCGAAAAAGCACGAGTTCCAGAAAAACATCTATTTCTGCTGTATTGACTATTTCAAAGCCTTTGACTGTGTGGATCACAATAAATTGTGGAAAATTCTGAAAGAGATGGGAATACCAGAACACTGCCTCTTGAGAAACCTGTATGCAGGTCAGGAAGCAACAGTTTGAACTGACATGGCACAACAGACTGGTTCCAAATAGGAAAAGGAGTACATCAAGTACATATTATCACCCTGCTTATTTAACTTATATGCAGAGTACATCATGAGAAAAGCTGGGCTGGAAGAAGCACAAGCTGGAATCAAGATTGCTGGGAGAAATATCAATAACCTCAGATATGCAGACACCACCCTTATGGAAGAAAGTGAAGAAGAAATAAAGAGCCTCTTGATGAAAGTGAAAGAGGAGAGTGAAAAAGTTGGTTTAAAGCTCAACATTCAGAAAACTAAGATCATGGCATCCGGTTCCATCACTTCATGGCAAATAGAGGGGGAACAGTGGAAACCCTGGCTGACTTTATTTTTCTGGGCTCCAAAATCACTGCAGATGGTGATTGCAGCCATGAAATTACAAGACACTTACTCTTTGGAAGGAAAGTTATGACCAACCTAGATAGCATATTAAAAAGCAGAGACATTACTTCGTTAACAAAGGTCTATCCAGTAAAGGCTATGGTTTTTCCAGTGGTCATGTATGGATGTGAGAGTTGGACTATAAAGAAAGCTGAGCACTGAAGAATTGATGCTTTTGAACTATGGTGTTGGAGAAGACTCTTGAGAGTCCCTTGGACTGCAAGGAGATCCAACCAGTCTATCCTAAAGGAGATCCGTCCTGGGTATTCATTGGTAGGACTGATGTTGAAGCTGAAACTTCAATACTTTGGCCGCCTGATGCGAAGAGCTGACTCACTGGAAAAGACCCTGATGCTGGAAAAGATTGAGGGCAGGAGGAGAAGGGGATGACAGAGGGTGAGATGGTTGGATGGCATCACCGACTCAATGGACATGGATTTGGGTGGACTCCGGGAGTTGGTGATGGACAGGGAGGCCTGGCGTGCTGCGCTTCATGGGGTAGCAAAGAGTTGTACATGACTGAGTGACTGAACTGACTGATACATGTTGAGAAGAGCTCAGCTACATTTTCCCAAGCACTTGAAACTTTTTTTTAACATATACTATTTTCATTATCTTTCCACTTCTTGGTTACTATCAATAAGGAGTACATGTATGAGTCTATAAACCATAATCTTAAGTTCACTTTGAACGTTGGGAAATAGAAAAACTGTTCTTCAGTTTAATTCATATTTTCTAGGTGTTTTTCTAGAAAATCTAGATATAGGAAAACCTAATATAGGTAAACATTAAAAGGTAATTGTTTACAAGTGTAAATATGCTACATTTGCCAGTTTGGGCTCAGGTATATTCTTCAATTAAATCTGTAACATTTCCATAATTTTAGTTTGGATATCCACATTTCCTGGAAGTAACCCTGTTGCTTTTTAGTAAATTGACCCCATAATTTTCTGGAACTCTTTGGAAAACCTGATTTTCTTAACCTGATTACTACTTCTCATCATTTATCCAGAGTGACTGGCTAAAAAGTGGGCAATAAGCCTGTTTTGTTGAATGAGACATGAGGAAAAATCAGCTGCAGCTCCTTAGAACTTCCATTCACATCCTGCAGATTCTACATGGAAAGTCTTAGCATCAGAGGTTGCTGCCAGTCATTTTGCAACCATAAGGAAAGCCAGCCTTAGAATGTAGTATGTATGTATACTACAAAACAACCAGCTTCCGTGATGGCTCAAATGTAAAGAATCAGCCTACAATGCAGGAGTTGCAGGAGACACAGGTTCAATCCCTGGGTCAGGAAGATACCCTAGATGAAGGCATGGAAATCCAGTCCAGTATTCTTGCCTGGAGAATCTCATGGACAGAGGAGCCTTGTGGGCTACAGTCCATAGGGTCGCAGAGTCAGACACGGCTGAAGTGACTTAGCACACGCACGCACGCATTACAAAACAACAGTTTACAGAAGAGAGTTTGCTTTTTCTGATACTGTCAAATCTAGATCAACATTAAGTTGACACAGTATGTAAGTTTTTCAGTTGTTGAGTCAATACCCAGGACAATTGTTCTGGGTCTATTTATACTGTTTCACTTAGAACTAAAAATTTCCCCCATTTGTTTCTAAAAGTTAACTTTTTATAAATTCTGTTTTATATCATGACATAATTACAATAACATCTATACAGCAAAATGTGCAAATCTAGGAAGCTGATCATAGGTGGAGATAAATGTTTAAACTCTTTCCATTCACCATTTTTTATAGAGGTTAATTTACACATAAAAATTTATAAAATTGCTTTACTTCTCTTGGTTTATCTATCAGTTTCTTGGAAGTGCAAGTGTTCATATATTTTAAACAGAGCAAATCAAATAATAAATATCATATTTGAGATCCTAACTGTTAAAAGAAATCATGTGTATTGAATAGGAGCTTTAAGTGAAAGTTGCTCAGTTGTGTCCGACTCTTTGTGACCCCATGGATACACAGTCCATGGAATTCTCCAGGCCAGAATACTGGGATGAGTAGCCTTTCCCTTCTCCAGGGGATCTTCCCAACCCAGAGATCGAACCCAGGTCTCCCGCATTGAAGACAGATTTTTCACCAGCTGAGCCACAAGGGAAGCCCCAGAATCCTGGAGTGGGGAGCCTATCCCTTCTCCAGTGGATCTTCCCAACCCAGAAAGTAACTGGGGTCTCCTGCATTGCAGGCTGATTCTTTACCAGCTGAGCTACCAGGGAAGCCTGAATAGGAGCTTTAGAGGGCTTAAAAATGAATTAATGATTATATTTACTTACAATGTATCTCTTCAGTATTTCAATAAAAAGTATTCTAAACTGTTTAATAATAATAATAATCTAAAGTGATTCTTTTGTACATTAATGCATGAACAGTTTTGCATCATAAAATCACATTTGCTCACATTTTGCCTTCTAAAGCCTGTACTTGCAGTCTCGAATTTTGTACAATGTGAAATTGTAATGCATATTAAAGAGGATTAGTCATGTGTATTGCTGTTTAAGTTTGGTTACACTTGTAGAGTCCTCTCCCTTCCCTACTGTATTTTGCTACATATTTCTGCCCATTTCTGGTAATTATTTGGAAAAAAAAATGAATTAGGTCTCACCTATCTGTCCTAGATTTCAAAATCTCATAATTTATTAAGGAAGAATTGGGTTAAAAATCATCATTTTTGTCTCTTAACTGAGAGCTGTAAAATTTCTTATGATATTGGTCTTAAGATACATTCTAACTGTTGAAACTTTAAAATATCTGAATGTATGAGACAAGGAGATTTATCTCAGAATTAGAACTCAGTTTTGACAGCTTGGTTCAGAGGCAAGCACTGCATAACTCTCAGCTTGGTGTCATGTCTTCCCTATAAAGAACACAGGCAATTAAAATGTTTCATTATATCCACAACACAAAACCAACTGAATAAAGATTAGAAAGAGCTTGGCTTATGGAGATACAAATAGAGTCACTCTTTCACTTACATTTATTTTTACGTAAATAGAT